CAGAACCACAAGATACCACTCCATTATGATGATTATAAATTTAAACAACAGGAAATAACAAATGCTAGCAAAGAAGTGGAGAAATTGGAACTCCTGTGCTTTGCTGGTGGGGATGGAAGATGGTGTTGTTATTGTGAAAAACAATTTAGTAGTTTCTTAAAAAGTTAAACAGAATTACCATATGATTCAGCAATTCCACTTCTAGGTATATACCCAAAAGAATTGAAGGTGGGGACTCAAGCAGATACTTGTATATCCACAGTCACAGGAAGAGTATTTAAAATAGAAAGTGGAGGGCGCCTGGGTGGCTCAGTTGGTTAAGCGACTGCCTTCGGCTCAGGTCATGATCCTGGAGTCCCTGGATGGAGTCCCGCATCGAGTCCCGCATGGAGTCCTGCATCGAGTCCCGCATCGAGTCCCGCATCGGGCTCCCTGCTCGGCGGGGAGTCTGCTTCTCCCTCTGACCCTCCCCCCTCTCATGTGCTCTCTCTCATTCTCTCTCTCTCAAATAAGTAAATAAAATCTTTAAAAATAAATAAATAAATAAAATAAAATAAAATAGAAGGTGGAAGCAACCCAAATACCCACCTACAGATGAACAGATTTTAAAATGTGGTATATCCATTCAGTGGAACTCAGCTAACCAACTAATCCTTAGTTGGCAGGCCCTGGGAGTAGGAGGGAATGGGGAATTATTGTTTAATGAGTATAGAGTTTCTGTTTGGGCTAATGGAAAGAGCCAGAAATGACAGTAATGATGGTTACACAACATTGTGAATATACTTAATGCCACAGAATTGTGCACCTAAAAATGATTACAATGGTAAATTCTATGCTAGGAACATTTTACCACATTAAAAAAATAAATACAAATAGTAAAAGAGCAAAAGGCTGAGATCACTGAACCCAAGGGACTGTTACAATCCCTTGCCCAATTTCCAGCCAGTTCTCAGGCCCAGACCTCATCTACTGAAGTCACCTTCACATTGGGGAGGGATCCAGCTGTACCATGAACGATATATATAGTGCTAGGAGAGGGGGATCTAGAAAAGGTGGGGAAGAGGGATCAGATGGTGCCTGGTTACAGGCTCGGGACCAACTTAAGCAACAGGGGCCACAGCCCATCCCCACTAGCTTTCTTTTCCTAGGTATGTCCAGAAATTGTGCCCAACCAGAATCCTGGGGATCTGAAAGCAATGAACTTCATGTGGAGCTGAGTGTGGCAGGGCTGGGGTAAGCGTCCCCAGTGTGAGCTGGTGACTTGCAGCTGACCCTTTCTCTGGAGCATTGGCTGAATGGGAGCCACCCCGGTAAAAGAGGCTGTGCACCCTGACCTTATGAAGGTGGCCCCAGACCGCCCTGGGCTGGAGAGGAACCAGCTTCCCACTCCCCCTCCCTCAGGTGCTCCCCAAAAAACTCCTTCCTGCTCCTCCCCCACCCCAACCACTGATCTGTTCCCCAGATCTGTTGCCATTTCCAAAGTGTCACATAAATGGCTTCACATGGAGCCTTCTGAGACCGACTGCTTTCACTCGGTCCCATCTTCTGAGATGGCTCTGCGCTGCGGCGTGTGTCACTGGCTCCTCCCTGGGGTGGCAGACCGTGGCATGTTCGTCTGCCCCCCAGCTGATGGGCATCTGGGTTGCTTCCAAGCTTTGGCGATGATTAATAGAACTTCTCTAAACATGCAGGGGCAGCATTTTGTGAGCATAGAAGTTTTCATTTGTCTAGAGCAGCTCCCAGGACCGGAACTGCTTGTTCGTACAGCAGGTGTCTGTTTGTTAACTTCGTCCGCTGGTTTCTGTGCATGAACGTCTCCTTCTTTCAGGTCACTCTTTCCCCTCTCTTCACTGTAGGAGGCTGAAAGAAGCCAGGCAGCTCCTTCAACGGCCCCGCAGGGCATCTCCTCAGCTGGATCATCTTACTCACAGGGGAAGCATCTTATTTCGGGTCCTGCTACTGGTGACAATGTAGCTAAGCTTCTTGCAAAGCCACACCAAGGGTCTCCTTTCTTCCATCTTCTAATAAGACTTTTCTCACTTCCCTCTAAGCCCCCGCTGGCAGTCTCTGCAGGGTTCTTCCAGCTCCCGCTCGCTGTCCAGTCCCAAAGCCAAAGCCACGTGACTTAGGGCTTGAACCAGCAGCATCCCCTTCCGGTACCTGACCCCACGTGGTCAGGTACCACGTAACAAACCACCTCAAACAAATCACCTCTATTGTTACCTCTCACAGTTGCCAGTTTGGTCTCTCGTGTGGTTGCCGTTGATGACAGCTGGGACAGAAGCCACCCGAAGGCTTCCTCACTCACTCATGATGCTCCGTGCTGCCTGTTGGCTGGCCCTTCAGCTGAAGCTGCTGGCTGGAACACCTCTGCACGTGCCTCTTCCTGGGGCTGCTGGTGGCTCCTCGCAGCCTGGTGGCCGGCTCGAAGAGCAAGCATCCCAAGATGAGTAAGAGAGAGAGGAGCTGTATCACCTAGCGGTCTGAGTTGGCTTCAAAAATCAGTGTCACTTGGGGCGCCGGGGCGGCTCATTTGGTTGGGCGTCCAACTCTTGATGTGGGCTCAGGTCATGATCTCAGGGTCATGAGACTGAGCCCAGCACCAGGCTCTGCTCAGCTGCCGGGAGTCTGCTTGAGATTCTCTCTCTCCCTCTCCCTCTGCCCCTCCCCTCCCCTGCTCACGCTTCTCTCTTAAATAAATAAATAAATAAATCAGTGTCACTTCTGCTCCATTCTAGAGGTTAGAAGTCAGTCATTAGGCCAGCCCTCATGTTCTAAGGCAAAAGGAATTAGATGCCACCTCTTGAAGGGAGAAGGGTCAGGGAATTCCCTGACATGTTTGGAAAACTCCAGAGTGGGCCACTCTTCCCCATGGTGGACTGGTGAAGAGATGGGCGTATGCAGAGGTAGACAGGTAAAGAGATGGTGCATTTACCCAGGCGGATAGGCAGGTAGGTGACCCATTTATCAAGGTGGGGAATACCAAGCAAGAACAGATTTTGAGAGGATCTTAAATCCAGCCGGGGAATGGTGGCTGGGAGATGTTTATAGGTGATCCAAATGGAGACGTGGAGCAGGCACTTGTGAGATATCAGCCTGGAACAGTGGGAGAGGTCAGACCAGAGGTATCCATTTGGGAGTCATTGTCACAATAAAGGTGTCTGAAGCTTCAAGGCTGCAGGAGGTCACTGACCCAGGGAGGGAATGGGGACGGATGAAGAACCTGCCATGGCTGGGGTGAGGAGGGCACAATCTTCCTGACCACCAACTCTTTTGCCCCATCCTGGCAGAACTCCCACTTTGATTGGCAGTCAATCCCCGTGTGCCTCTCTGATCTAATGGCGAGCACGCAGTTCTATGAGGTTCTGTGCTGGAAGAGGTTTCCACAGTCATCCAAAGGGACACATGGGAAGAGATGGAGGTATGGGGCTGTGGCAGCCATCTTGCAACCATGAGGCAGGCTGGGAGCGGCAGAGCCACTCACAGAAGTAATGGTTCCTTCACTAAGGATTCAGATTAAGTCCCGGGCACTTTTATTAAGACTTTTGCAACAGGGGTTGAGTTGGGAGGTTCTGTCACCTGAAGTCCAGATTCTCCTCACTGATACCAGAGTGGAGTCAGCAAAGGGGTCTGAACAAGGGTGTGTGAGGTGGGAGGAGAAGGGGAGGAATGTGAGTGTGCTGCCTTTCAATGGCACCTGCCATGCATGGAGCTCCCACATGCCCAGCCCAGTTCTAACGCCTCATGTATAGTAACCGGTTGAGTCCTCTTGAGTTAGGTTGCTATTATTATGTTACAGATTGGGAAACCAAGGCACAAGGGGCTGAGGGAACCTATGGAAGGTCCCACGGCCAGAAAGTGACGGCTGGGATATAAGCCAGACAGTCTGTTGCTCTTTCCTGTGAGCCAAGGATATCTTTTTCAGAGGTCCAGAGAAGAGGGTCTTAAACTGAAGTGTCTGACTGGCTGTTCAGTGCTACTTGCTTAAGAATGAACAGTCTTCACAAATTTGGTAAAGTACAGGTCATCAGCAATGTTGGGCAGTGGGACCTGGGTGGGGAGAGTGTAGACAGTCGGACTGGCCTGAAGAATAAGGAGGTGGAGAGCCTACACAAGTCAGCTCTTGAGAAGCATGGCTATGGTGAGGGTACAGCAAGAGTGTTTCACGTTTTTTTGGAGGGGATTCTGGGACATATAAGGAGGAGGGGTCGCTCCAGAGCTCTGGGGTGGGGCCTTGGAAGGCTGGAAGGCTCCCCTGACCCAGTAGAGAAGATAGAGACTTGGGATCATGAGACAATGGGGTTTCAGGTTTGGTGATGAGCAGAGAAAGCTTCCTGCTCCTGCCATTTCCTCCAGGAGGCTGAGATCCCGGCTCTGAAACGGGTGGGAGGTTTGTGGCCAAAGAGCGGTGCGATCGTGGGGTTGCCAATGGAGTTGGGTCCCATTTGAGGTCGGAGCCCAGCAGTTTGGGGGCCAAGAGATGGGCAGTTTGGGTGGCTTTCTCCAGACTTGCCCATTCACCTCTGTAGGGCCCCAAGGTGACGAGGAGCCAGCCCTGGTTGCGGTGGCTACAGGAGGAGGTACCCAGGGGCTGGGCCGGGAGGCGCCAGGGCAACCAGGGGGCTGCAAGGTCGGGGTGGCCTCCGGCCACTGCCCCAAAAGTAGGGTGAGGACCTCCAGGCCCGGTGGTCAGGGGGAGGCGGCCCTCTGCGCCCTCCCGGTGGCATCTCCCTGCCCGCGAGTTCTGCCAGCCCTTCGGGGACAGGAAGAGCAACGCGGGGCGGAGGGCTTCCTACTGGCCCCCTCCCCGCGGCCCGGCGGAGCCCCCCGCACGCCGATGCGGAGCAGGATTTCCCGCCGCCGCAGTTGGGGATTAGCGCGCCTCTGGCCGGCGCAGCGGGATTAGCCCGCGTGGACTCGGCGCTCGGCCCGGGGATTACAGCGCGCTCCCCCCGACGTATATATTCCCGCGGCGGCGGCGGCGGCGGGGCCGGGCGGGCATGGCGGCGGCGGGGGGCGCGGCGAGCCGCAGGGGCCCCGGGCGGCCCTGCCCCTTCTCCATCGAGCACATCCTCTCCAGCCTGCCCGAGCGGAGCCCCCCGGCGCGGGCCGCCCGCGCGCCGCAGCCCGCCGGCCGCCAGAGCCCCGCGGAGCCCGGGGAGCCCGGGGCGCCCGAGGCCGCGCCCTGCGCCTGCTGCTGCTGCTGCGGGCCCCGCGCGGCGCCCCGGGGACCCCCGGAGCCGGCCGCCGGGCTGGGTGAGTGGGAGCGGGGCGCGGGCGCGGGGGTCCTGCGGGCGCGGCGCGGTCGGGGCGGAGCTCGGCCCCCGCCCCGCGCCTCACCGCGCCCTCGCCCCGCAGGCGCGCGGCTGCCGTGGCCGCTGAGGCTGGGCCCCGCGGCGCCCTTGCCCTTGGCCGCGGCCGGCGGAGGTTCGGGGGCGCTGCCGGGCGCGGGCGGCCCCGGCCCCGGCCCGCAGCGGCGCACGCGGCGCCACCGCACCATCTTCAGCGAGGAGCAGCTGCAGGCGCTGGAGGCGCTCTTCGTGCAGAACCAGTACCCCGACGTGGGCACGCGCGAGCGCCTGGCCGGCCGCATCCGCCTGCGCGAGGAGCGCGTGGAGGTGGGTGCCCGCCCGCCGGACCGCCGAGGGGCCGAGCAGGCTGGCTTCCTTCCTCCTTCTTTCCTTGAGAAGACGGCCCTGGCGCGATGGGAGGAGGCGCCAGGGGCCCGGGGACCGCTGTGGGGCGCAGGGCCGGTTCCGGGGGGCGGGCGGGGACAGGCACGTGCGGGGAAAGTGTCCCTGGAACTGGAGGGGAGGTAAGGCTAGTTGTCCTTTGGTTTAAGCTTTTTTATTTTCCCTGATTAATGAGGCGCGCGTTCATGTGCCAGAATTTGGGAAGCTTGGAAAGGGCAGGAAGCTGCAGAAGGGGCGTCCGGGGCACCGCCGGGCGGAGGTGGGGGGTGGGAAGGCGTGCAGAGAGATGGCTGGTCCGGGTGGGAAGGGGGCTCTCGTCCCCGCGGCCCGAGCCGCAGCGCCTACCTGCAGCGGTTAAGAGATGGTGGGTGCCGCTGCCGCGTGCCGGCCCCGCAGCCCTCGTCTGCCCACGTCCCCATCGGGAAGCTCCCCGCCTGGTCCACCTATGGGGTGGCGGGGGGGTACGCGGGGCCTGGGGCAGGGCCTGAGCGGTGCTTCCTGCTCCTCAGGTCTGGTTCAAGAACCGCCGGGCCAAGTGGCGACACCAGAAGCGCACGTCAGCGACCTCGAGGCTCCTCCCCGGAGCCAAGAAGGCCCCAAAGGAGAGCTGCTGATGGCTCTGGTAGCTACTCCTGGACTTGGCCGCGTCTTTGGGGGCCGGCTCAGAGAGAGGACAGATTTACCCGAAATCGAGCCGAGAGGGGACACCAGCCTCTTCCCGTCTGTCTGCAGGGCTTCCTGCATCCTGGAGCTAGTGGTCAAGGCGGGAGCCGGCCGCTGGAGTGTGTGTTACCTCCCCAACCCCATCTCCCCCGCCCCGTCACCTGCCCCGTGAAAGGAGGAAACACTGAGCATCTCCATGTGCTCGCTTCTCCAGTGACTAAGGGTCGGGAAGATTCCCTGGGGGCTGGTGGGGCTGGGAGCAGGGCACAGAGCAGGTCAGCTTCCTCAATTCCCCACCAACTCCAGGACAGCAACCACCCCTTGTCAGGGGGGCCCAGAATCTTCTCCCTCCCCGGTATGCTGGCGCCCCTCCTCTCCTCAGCAGGCACATAGTTCCCTTCCCCGGGCCCCAGGAGATTTCTCTGCATCCTGGGCTTGTCAGCTTGCGTGCCCTGCACTGGGCCTTGGCATCCAGAGCTATAGGATAAGAACGTTGGGTGAGGTCATCTCCAGAAGCCACTGCCCCGCTCCTTAATTCTGTGAGCCTTGTCTGGATCCTGGGAAATAAACAAGCAACTGCAAACAGCACAAAAGCAGTCCAGAGTTCCAAGTCCGCCATGGCCCCCACTCCCCCACCCAGGGAGTGGGGGCCATCTTGCCTTGGGGAGCACAGCCCAGTGAGTCCTCAGTCCCTGTGTTCCCCAGCACAGCAGACTACCCCACGGATCATGGCCTAGCGCCCTGGGGGTCTGCACCGGCCTCGAGGTACTGCTCATGGGTGGGGGGATTCCATGCTGTGTGTCTGCCTCCCTCTCTGCCATCGTGTTGGGACAAGAGGAAGTTTGACTGGGGAGGATGCACCCTGCCCCCCCCCGGCCCCGCCCTGCCACTGCCTTGGAAGATGTCTGTTTTCCTCTCCATCATCCTGGCCCCAGGGTGAAGGATGGTGTGAAAACAAGGCTTTGATTCCCCCAGTAGGCCTGTATGGTGGGCTCAAGGCATCTAACACCATCATCTGGCTTGGGGACCATGTTCTGCCTCCTTATGGGTCTTGGAGGAGATGGGCCGGGGGTATCTGAAAGGAGACACAGTCCATTCAGTAAAGGTGCAGAAGGCAAGGCTACCGCCGCCAGGACTCCAAAGCTGGCTAGATCAGATAACACAGAGCAGGCACATGTCCCTGCGGCGCTGCTCTCACACCACGGGGTGCCTCCAGGACAGCAACACCCCCCTCCACCCCTCAGGATGCACACTCTGGTTGTCGCAAAGCTCTTTGCCTGGGGGCGCCTGGGTGGCTCGGTCGGTTAAGCGTCTGCCTTCGGCTCAGGTCATGATCCCAGGGTCCTGGGATCGAGCCCCATGTCGGGGTCCTTGCTCAGCGGGGAGCCTGCTTCTCCCTCTGCCTGCCACTCCCCCTGCTTGTGCTCTCTCTCTCTGTCAAATAAATAAATGAATAAATGAAATCTTAAAAAAAAAAGGGCTCTTTGCCCTGACTCCTGGCCTTATCCTTGGATACCGCACAGTCTGCGCGCAGAGCTTCCCTGCAGGCCGGGATGCCTTCATCTCGCTGGGCTCTGGGACCCTAGCTGCCGGGTGGCTCTTTGTCATTGTATTGGGCAGCCATGATCAGAGCTCCACCCTCAAGGGACCAGTGGTCATACTGTCCTCCTTTCTCTCCTTTCTCTCTAGCTGCTCCTTGGCAGGCTCACCCCCTATAAGCTGCCCATTAACATAGCTGTCCTGCAGGCTGGGCCCCAGGCATGCTCCTCTCCTCTCCATTCTCTCCTTGCTTGATCACTTCCACCTTCAGGCCCCAATTCCTATCTCTCTGCCACATTTATATCTCCAGCCTGGACCTCTTCCTGAGCTAGATATTTATGTCCAACTGTCCCCTTGACTACTACACCTGGAAGCCCACAGCATATCAAAATCACCTCGTCGGCAGCAACTCTTCCCCTGTACAAACCAGGTGCATGAGCCAGAGGACTGGCAATTACCCCCACCTCCCCTCCCCCACCCACCATACCCAGGCCAGCAGCAAATCAAATTTTTTTTTGTTTTATTTAAATTAAAGTTAGTTCACATATAGCAAATCAATTTTGCCTCCAAAAACAATCCCAGAAGCTATCTTCTGCCCAGGTTCAACTGTAGCAACCTGATGAAAATGCTATCATCCCTCACCTTGACCACTGCAGCTGCCTCCAGTCTTGTCCACCTGCAGCCACTCTGGTTCCTCTGTAATTCCTTCCCCATAAAAGGCAGGGTGCAAGTGTGAACCTGCCTCTTCCCTGGTGCTCTAAGGGCTTCCCGTTGTTCCGAAAGATAAAACTCCTCACTGTGACCCATGAGCCCAAACACAGCTGGCGCCTGCCCCTCTGGCATCTTCAACCTCACCGCTCCTTGAACTCTGTATATCCAAAGGTCTTCTCCCTCCTGCTGCGAGACCTTTGCACCTGCTCTTTCCCTCCACCTGATCAATGTCCATTCTCTGGGTCTGCAAGCACTTCCTGACCCCGGGGAAACTTCCCCTGACTGACCCCTAGTACAAACTCTTTTTTTGCACTTGTTCACTGCAGGTTTATGCTTGTTTGTGGGATGATCTGACTAGCGTCTGTCTTCCCCATTTGACTGTCAGCTCCATAGGGCAGGAACCATCATCATGGAGTTCCCCACTGAATGAAGGAATGACTGCCTATTATACTAAATTGTTCTGGGGCAGAATTTGTTTGACATAATTCACAACCTCCTTTAGGGAAGAAATTATCATTCCTGAAAAATGGTTGGACAATTTTCTGGTCCATTTCAATGAGAGTGACCCTCTTCTGGGAAACCCCCTGTGGTGTTCAGGGACCAAAAAAAATTTTTTGTAATCAAACTATTTTATTGAGGGGCTTCCGGGAAAGGTCGAGGAGGAGGACAGGGAGGGAGATCCGACGTCCTCGGCCCGGCCGGAATCTTTCCGGCCTCACAGTCGTCGAAAGGGACCGAATAATTTTTAACCAGACATTTCTTCATTGGACTGCGTATTTTTTTTCTTTTGTTAGGTAACTATCAAGAAGAAATTGTCTTAGGGTTCTTTTCTTGCAGAAAAGTTTGAATAAAAACATTGAAACCGTGTATATAGCCAAAATGCGTTTTTGTTAATAATACAGAAGCACACGCAATGATTTGCGAGAAATTGGAATCCCAAGGCCTTTCAATTTCGCAGTTCTAAAAATTTTCACGATTAGCGTGACCGACACGCCCCTTAGTCTCTCCCACCACAACGCCCCCTGGTGCCAGTAGCCCAGACTCACAGGACCAGAGCGGGGCGGAGCGAAGACTACAACTCCCATAAGGGCCAGGGCTTTTAGTGACGTCACTACGGGGGCGCGGGCTGGCCTCGAAACGCACAGCTCTCCCATTGGTGGACTGTTGCAAGCGCCTGCGCATTTGGCACAGTCCCGCCCCCACCGACTCCCGACGCTGTTACGTACCTGCGTCGCCCGAGCGGTCCTGGGATAGCGATGGAGACGCCCGGAGCATCAACCCGGGTCTTGTCGCTTCCTGCCGCGTCCGTGACCCGGAGGAAGCGCGCGGCAGGGGAGGCCCGGGCTGCGACGAGCAAGCAACGGGTCCTGGATGAAGAAGAGTACATCGAGGTAAGACCTCGATGCGACGCTAGCGAATTCTGGGTCCCTTCCCCGCCTTGCGCTCTTCTCGGGTCTCTCCTCTCGGGTCGTGGCAGACTCGTACCCTCGCGGAGGTGGAGCAACCCGAGTGCGTGCTCTTGGGTTGTGGACAGTCGGGGAGCCAAACAAATACTGTGCAGAGAGAGGTGTCCTTGATGGGGGAGGCAGCAACAGTGCTGTTAGGGGAGAGAGGGGGCGGCTTTGTTTGTATGTCGGGGGGTGGGGCGCGTCAGGGAAACAAGGTATTAAAGCGTGAAGAGGCGTGTGGGAGGATGGTGGCAAAGAGGACTTTCTAGAGAGTTGTAACAGCAAATGCAGAGGCTGGACGTCTTGGAAACAGTCTATGATTGTGTCAGCATCATTGAGTTAGTGCGCGTCAGAGGATCCTTCAAGTAGGTTTTAATACTACAACAGACATGCAGGAAGAGGAGCTGGCAGGGAGATTGGAGAAAATCAGTTTGGCTTTGGACTGGTAAAGTTTGGGAGGCCTCGGATAGAGAGGCAGCTGGCATTAGGGGATAGCTGGGTGCACAGATGTGCAGCTTAGGAGCAGGGTCTGGCTGGAGGTACAGACTTGGGAATCTCAGCCAGTGCTGCTGGTGGGGGTGACAGGCTGAAGTCATCCAGGTAAAGGGTTCCAATTGGAAATAGGAGGCCTTGGATGGCATGAAGGGGCAACACCCACCTTGGTCCAGCTGGTGTGGAGATGGAGCCAGCAAAGGAGATGAGAGGGACCAGTTAGTGGGGGGGAAAAGAAAAGTTTCATGGAAACCAGATGAGCGTTTAGTAATGTTAGATGTTGAAGCAAGATCTCAGGGGGTGCTCATCCTCATTAGAAAGTGCAGCTAAACTCGGGATCATTGAGTTGGACAGAGGTTGGGGGCATCGGCAAGGATCTTAGCATGTACATTGGTAGACTGAGAGCAGAGGCAGATGTGAACTCTGACTTTTATTCTGACTTCTGATAGGGCCTCCAGACAGTCATCCAGAGGGACTTCTTTCCTGATGTGGAGAAGCTGCAGGCTCAGAAGGAGTATCTGGAGGCTGAGGAGAATGGAGACCTGGAACGGATGCGTCAGATCGCCATCAAGTTTGGCTCTGCCCTGGGCAAGATGTCCCGAGAGCCCCCACCACCCTGTAAGAGCGACAGTGGTGGGCCGAGAGGGGAACTCCTGCTGAACTGATGCCTTAGGCTGGCTCTAATCCCCACCCCCTTCCTCCTTCTAGATGTGACTCCAGCCACATTTGAAACCCCTGATGTGCACACAGGCACCGGAGTGGTGGGCAACAAGCCCCGGGGCCGGGGCCGAGGCCTGGAGGAGGGTGATGGTGAGTGAGCAGTTGGGTTTGCCTGCGAGTCTCATCCTGTGTGGCCCTGAGGGGCTGACCCAGAGGCAGATCACATCTTGTCCCTGAGGGCTCTGTTTGCCTGAATGGCAGCCCATGGGGTCAAAGAGCACCGGTCTGGGAGGCAGGCATGGGGCAGTTCTCTGAGCCTCTGGCCCTCCTCTGTGGAATGGGAATCTCGCTACCTCTCTCACCGGCCTGCTCACTGTGTGCCAGCCCCTGCCCAGTGAGCTTCATGGGCCTCGGAGGGCCCCTTTCCCGATGTCATCTTAGAATGCCTCGGGGCTTCTGCACTTGTTTAGTGAGTTAGTCACTTCCCCTGGATAGCTGCACGGCTCACACCTTCTCTCCCCTCAGACCTCTGCTCAGATGTTACCATTCAGGAAACCCTTTTCTGACCCCTTCTCACCACCCCCAGCATGCCTTCCTGCCTGGCTTTGTTTTCTCGCTGTAGGACCTGGCACTTAAAAAGGCGTTTTTTGGGTTTTTTTTTTTAAGATTTTATTTATTTATTTGACAGAGAGAGAGAGCGCAAACAGGGAGAGTGGCAG